TTCTCTGGGGGTGGGGGGGGGTGTGGAGGGACGGGGGGCAAGGCGAGGATGAAGCAGGGAAACCAGGTGGGAGTTTATTGAAATGATCCAAACTTAGATGGGTATGTCAGCGTGGTTTTAGACGAACGTTTTTGGATTCTGGCTGTATTTTGAAGTCAGATGCAGCAGGTCTTGCAGGTGGATTCGATGACGGAGGTTTCAGAGGAAAATTAGGGATAACTTCCAGGCTGCCCTGAACATGAAGTTGCTTTGTGCTCAGGTGGAGATGAAGGAAGGTTGTAAGTAGAGCGGGATTATAAGGTGGACGGTCAGGAGGAGTTCAGTCTTGGGGGTGAATCTGACTGGAGTGAGCTGAAGAGTGGGAGAAGAGAAATTCAAGGCAGCATTTACAGACAAGTAGTTCAGAGTTTTATTGTGAATAGAAGGTGGAGAAATCGGACAATAGATGGAGGGGGGAGTGAGCAAAAGAGGGATTTCAGTTGTGTTTTTTGTTTGTTTTTAAGATGGAAATAACATTTCGGCATGATTATGGGCTGATAGGAAAGAAGGATGGAGACATTGACAATGTAAGAAAAGGAAACTGCTGAAGCAGCGTCCTGGAGTCTTAAGAATGGGTGAATTTGGCCTTTGTTAGAAACATTGATGCTTCGTTCATCTGGTGACAATTATATGGATACGAATCTGTGTGAATAGGCCAATAGGATGGCAGGAACTTGTGACAATTCTCTGAATTCTTATTGTTTCCTCAGTGAAAGAAGCAAAGTCATCAGCTAGGCTAGGAGTGGGTGGAGGTGGTAGAGGTTTGAGTAGAGGGAGGGTGAAAATAGTCCTCTGGAAGAGTGAGTGAGTAGACTAGAGAAATTTAGTAGAAATGTTGCTGGGTGACATGAAGGGTCTACTTCAGATCTGTGGTCAAGAACTTAAGGAGACCAGACAGCAACAGAAAGTTGAAATCTATAGGGCTGTAGTTTTACCACATGGGATGAAGTGGGAGCAGAGGTACAGATGAGTTATCTTTTTTTTTATTTTTTTTTTAGTTGGTGTCTCACTCTGTTGCCCATACTGGAGTGCAGTGGCACACTCCCAGCCACTGCAACCTCGACCTGCTGGGCTCAGGTGATCCTTCTGCCTTAGCCTTCCAAGTAGCTGGAACCACAGTCATCTGTGTGGGTGTCTAAGTCACCAAAAATGGTGACAGGAGTAGTGCTGGGGAGAGAGTAGGGGTGTAGGCTTTAAGGAATAAGGGAGGGTGAGCCAGGAGGCTGTAGCTGATCGCATAAGAAAGGATAGTAGATGCTAGAGTCTGGTGACAGGATTTTCAAAGCTGGGAATTTTTAGAGAGCAAGGAGGAAGAATCTGCAAGTGGAAATGAGGGCACGGAAGATTTCTTCCCCCACCTCTGGTACACTGATACAGAGAGTGTGGAGGAGAAGGTGTCCTTTGAGATTGCTGTGAGGGAAAGGGCATTCACCAGGAGAGCTAGATTTTAGATAGGGCAAGAGGATGAAGGAATTTTCAGAGATGAAGTTAAAGATTGAGTTTTGCTAATGACTCAAGAGAGCACAATGGAAGTTTGAGGAGTGGAGGAGTGGTAGAAGATGGCAGGACATGAGGGATGATTTTAGAAACCTGAGCTACTGGGGGTGACTGAGAACCAGATATAAAGATAGTCCTGATGATGTAGTCTGGCTGTTGTTGCTGTGTAAGAAATCCTCCAAAAGTTAGTAGCATGAAATGGCAGTGAGCATTTTATCATCTCTCTTAGTTTCTGTGGGTCAGGAATTGTGAGGGCCTTGCTGGGCAGTTCTTGTTCAGCTGTCTGTTGTGGTTGTTTCCACATAGTTCCAGGAGCTACTATAGCTGTAGACTGAGCAATTGATTGGCAGGCCATCTCTTCTTTGTGTAATATCAGAATTTCTCTATGGGGTCTCAGTGTATGGGCTGAACTGGTTTGGATTTTCTGAGAGCGCTGGCGGCCTCAGTTGGCCTGGCCCTTTGTGATCCTTTCCCAGACTACCACTGATCCATTCCCAGACTACCACTGATCCATTTTGTCTTCATTAATTGGTCTGCATTTTCAAGAGTTGCGTAAACAATACCGTACCTTTTTTGTTTGGTTTCGTTTACTTAGCATAGCTGCTTTGCATTTCGTCCATTTTGTTATGTGTGTCAGTTCCTCCATTTTTTTTTTGAGTTGGAGTCTTCACTGTGTCACCCAGACTGGAGTGCAGCGGCCGCTCCCGGCCACCGCAGCCTCGACCTGCTGAGCTCCAG